CATGTTGTATTCATTAGAATGGGAACCAAGAGAAAATTCTTTTTATAATATATTAAATAATACTCTACCAGCTGAAGATAAAGAAAAATTAAAACCATGGCAACTTTATTTAAAACTTTTTATTTCTTCACTTGAAAAATTACCATCAGTTAACCAAACTATTTATCGAGGAGTAAAAATGGCTTTAAGTACACAATATCCACAAGGACAAATATTTACTTGGTGGGGATTTTCATCATGTACAAATTCAGTACAAGTGCTTCAATCGGAACAATTTCTTGGAAAAACAGGAGATAGAACTCTCTTCAATATTGATTGTGAACCTGGTAAAAATATTTAGGGCTGAGAAGTTATTGTTATCTCGTTGTCACAAATAACAATAACAATTTTAGTTATTTGTTACAAATAAGAATAACTTTTTTATGATAATTATTTGTTATAAATAACAGGTAAATAACAAATAACTTTTTTTTCTGAAAATTCTGCTAGCTTCACATCTTGATTGAACCATCTAAAACAGTAGTAGAGATATAGAAAATTCGTTCCAAAATGTAAGTTTACATAACGGACATAATTAAAATATACAATGAGATGGGAAAAAATATTTTTCAAAAATAAAAGTTATTTGTTATTTATCTGTTATTTATAACTAATAACAAAAAGTGTTATTGTTATTTGTAACAATAAATTTTTGGTTATTGTAATTTATAACAATAACAATAAATTCTCACCCCTAATCTATATAGTAGAACTTTTAATATTTATTCTATTAATTCAAGAGGACACAAACACAAAACAATCTTTTTTTTATAAATGCATTTTTTCTTCAAAATACATTATATTATTATTTATTGTTCATATATATATTTCAACTTTTCGTCAGATGTTGTTTAGTTTACCATAAGCGAATCCCATTCTAGTATGACTATCAGTCGTAGATATGTTAGATGAAGGTAATTTTTCTTCGTAAATTTGAACTGTTTTTTTTTTTATAAATTCCAACAGAAATATCATATTCTTCGGTATTAGAATATAGTTCAGCCAAGTTAAATGAAGTATGAATTACAGCTATATGTGTTGGAGAATAGCACTTCTAACACATGTCTAATTCTCAACTTAAATAATCATCTACTATGTTATATTCTTTAGTCTCTGTACATATGATGGTGATAAATGTTATAATTATATTTTATCCACGCCCCTACATTGAGAAAAAATATCTTTTTCTCACATTCACTGTGTTTTTATATTTTCTCAGTGTTTATCCATCATTTTCAGTTGAGTTTGGTCTCAAATAATATGGGAAAGAGTTTTCTACAAACTGGTCTTTGTCGATAGCTATAAAAATAACTTTTATAAAATGCGTAGGTTAATTCACATGATCATTTTTATGATCGTCGTGAAAGCCTGATATTTCAAGCTCTTCGATGACGTATTAAGAAGAAAGATTGATGATTTTTATAAGAAAATATTTTTATTTAGAAAAGAAATGTTCTTGAAATACAAAAAGAAAAATGATGGATGTTTTATAGTTATAAATTTTGATGAATTTTTCTTATATATAACAAATATACTTTGAATTGAATTTTGACATTGAATGATATTATTTAAAGATAGCCCACTCATATTGCATTCATCTTTATTAGATGAAAATATCTCGCAAATAGAAATGTCCTTACATCTTTTATAATTAATGACGCTTCCATTTACTAATTCTAATTAAATCGAAAAATATGGTATGATAAATTCGAATAGTGTCATTGAAAATAATTATCATATTACCAACATCAAGAATAATTGATATAGTCTTGTCGAAGAGATTAAGATAATAGAGCTGAATGAAAAAGTTTTCTATGATAATTCATACTGATTTTAAATGGAGACAAAATGAAACAACTGTTGGTAAAGAGAATAAAATAAATTAGTGTAATTATCCTAGTAGTATTTTTATTGCTGATATAAGAAATGATTATGCTTTTGAAATAGAGATTAAATACAAGTAACGATCAAATTATTGCGAATGGAAATAAGAAAAAAGTTAAGGATGAGGATATAGTTATCAGTTAACAATAATACTCACAGCTATATCCTCAAGAACAGTGAAGATCAACATAGATGACGTCATAAAGAAGAAAAAAAATTTACGTATAATATGACGCCATATTAGTTCTAATAAAAGAAAATGTACACATCACAGCACCAAGTAACAATTCTTCTTATGTCTTAACTATCTTTATTTAGTAATAAATTGTTTTTACTCATCGAATTCAGTATATAATAAATTCATTAAGTACTCAACTTGTTTACTATTTTTTGTGAAAATTTTTTTTATTAAATGTTTTTCAAAATATATGTAAAATAATTCAGAACATATCAATCATTCAGTGCAAATGAAGTTTTATTATTTTCTTATATTTTCAAAATAAAACTCCTTTCACATCGATCATTTTTCTTAGCAATGATAGATGAACAACAAAGTTTAAAATAAAACATGTTCGTCATTCATCATTTTTCTTGTATATAAATCTGGGAGTTATACGTTGAAAAGTCATTCTATTATTTTTTTTTCAATAGCAGGTGAGAGTCTTAAAATGATACGCAATTTAGTGAAACTTATACGGCAAAAATTTCTTGAATTGAATTTATATAAAAAACATTCAAGTAATGAACATACTCTTGAAAAAGAACTTCTTTCTACTCGTATTTATTTGATTGCATTAATTGTATGTTTATCGATTATTACTATTACTGTTGCACTTATCGTTCGACCTGTTGATAAAATTGAATATAAACCTTCACACGAGAGATTTTCACAATTGATTCGTAAGTATCCGAATACTCTTCATTGTCCATGTTCAAAATCTTCAACAAACTATGATAAATTCGTTACTAATATAGTTAATTTTCATCAAGTTTGTTCAAGTGAATTTATTCAACAGACATGGATTGAAAAATTATTTACAAATAAAAAGATTTCGAGCGAATCTGTCGATGATGCTCGTATTACTCTTAGTTTTTTTTGGCAAACAATTGCTGGTTTATGTATGGCAAGTAATAAAACTTGGAATGCTGTTCTCACAAATTTTGAAGCCACAAGTTTTATCACTCCTACTGCAATTGCTGAACAAGTTATTCGAAGTCAAGCTGAAAACGCTCTTCAAAATCGAATAAATGCATCAAAAACAATGTCAACTCGTAATTTACTTGCTCTTCAACGTATAATACGTGGAGATCAAATCGCATCGGCTTTACAAACAAATTTCTATTTACATTATCCACCCGTACATTTAAATCCAGGGAAAACTCCAAAAATGACAGCTCGGGAATTTGGTAATTGTACTTGTTTAAATATTGAAGGTTGTCCACGATCTGCTACATTTATTGATAATTATAGTCATTTAGTTAATGTACCAGGAATGATAGTAGATTGTTTAGTTGTTGATGGTACACTTAACTCAACACTTGAATGTTATTATGATCAATCATGTATTTCAATTTTACATGGACAATTATCGATGAATATTAAACCATTATCAAATACATCGAATAAATATTTTTCTATGTATTCAAAAGTACAATTAATCTTCAATGAATTAATGATAGATGAAATAATAACAGAAATTCGATTTGATAAATATTTTTCCGAATGTAATTGTCCTCTTTGCTCATATTCATATAGAAGACGTTTTGACATTTATTTTATTTTCACGGCTGTTACTGGCTCTCTTGGTATATTATCATTAATTATACGACACATTGCATCTTTTGTTGCAACAAAGATTTTACGTCGAAAAAATCGAATTTTACCAGTGGAAAATGTATCAACTATAACGTCTATGGAACAGAATCAAGGTAAGTTACAACAGACTTTTAGAAGCTCGAATGTGACTGATAGTATAAGTCAGAGATAAAGTCGATCTACAGTTTTGACAATCGATTAATCGATCGATGTATTAATTTACAATTGATAGGAACTTTTATTTCAAAAAGTGAGTGAGGAGATGGATTTATATCTGAGATTTAGCTTACATTCAAAACTATCCTGGTACATAGTCTAATGGTTTGTGATTTACTGCATGTTTAATGACTCGAATCACATATCTTCTATCAGTTTAATGATTTGTTTTGAATATTTAGACATAAGAAGTATTGTATTTTGATAAAACAATTTATCATTTATTTTCTTTTCAGAGCAACGTATACAACTTCGAATTCGACTTTTATTAAATAAATTATGGCAAGCAATAATATCTTTAAATCTTTTTAAAAAACAAACACATCGTACACCTACTAACATTTATCGAGAACAACTCCTAACAAGATTTTTCATCTTTTTCATTGTTAGTTTATCAATTGCTGCTGGAGTATACACCTTTGTTGTAAAGCAAAGTCAAGTAATAACAATTCCATATCCATCTCTTGATACTTACAAACAATTGTATAATGATTATCCGACCACATTATATTGTCCTTGTTCAAAAATATCCATTCCTAATGAAGTTTTTCTTAATGTAACATTTGTATTACATCAAGTCTGTTCAAGTGATATGGTTTCATCAGAATGGTTACATTATCTAATATCCTTTGATCCGACTCATCTCGCATTTAATCAAGATTTTCGTGAAATGGGTGCTTCTTATTTTCAGCTTTTAGCTGCTTTTTGTTCATTAGCTGAAATGAACATTGCAGATGCTCAGCATGTATTTATTAATACTGAATTTATTAATGATCGTGTTCCTCCTGAATCACGTTTTATTCAACAAACTGATGCTATGATGACTTCATTTATTAATACAACAATCTATGATTTTGTACAAACATTTAATTGGGCGAAACTTATTTTTATTACTAGTCGTCTTTACAATGGATTAAATACAAATGTTAATATAACTATAAACAATGATAATCAAGTGGTTTCTAAGTTTCGTCGATTTGGCTTAGTAACTCTCACATCAGACATGGTTGTAACCAGTACCGGCTCCTGCACTTGTGAATTACGTCCTGATACTTGCTATTTAATCCCTGAATTTTATAGAAATACAACATATCTTGACTTTACTGATGCATTTATTAATGCATATTTATTATACAAAGTATTATATCTTGGTTGTTCACCTTTAAGTGGGTTTCTCATGTCAAGAACGAAATGGTGGTACGATATCACATATATGAAACGTATTCAAGAAACTTATTCCATGATTATTCATACTCAACTTTCACCAAATATCGAACCTCTTAATGCAAATATATCGACTCTATTTGATGATCACACAACAGAGGATTTACTTGGTAAAATGCTACTCGAAAAAACAATCAATAATGCATCTTTCGATAGATTTTATAGTGAATGTAAACCTAGTTCCTGCTCATATACCGTTGTTCAACGTCGCAACTTTATCGTGATATTATTTCTTATTATTTCGATCTGCAGTGGTCTGAACAAAGGTCTTCAACTATTTGTTCCACTAATTGGTAAAATCATTTTTATTTGTTATGATTGGAGAAGAAATCGAAATACTCAACGAGGTAAGATATAGATAGAGTTCATTTTCAAAAAATTCATTAATTAAAATTATAATAACTATATAAATATATATCAATTAGCACTAAAAGAATGCATTTCTCTTTAAAACTAATAAACTTCAAAAATCAATAAGAAACTTGTTGAGAAATCTTCAAAGGATAACGGAATATTTCATTACGAATCTTTCTGTATTCATTAGATCATTATTTTGTCTCTTACAATTGAGATATAATGATGTGATAGTAGAACATGAGTTATTGACAGCACTATAATCATAGAAGTAAAATAAATACAGTTAACTACGCTCATCCACGAGTATTTTTTTGAGATAAGAATTTTACTGAAAAAGAAACTAGCCGAAAGAACCAAATTGAGAATGTTAGGCTAAGTTTGAAGATGATTATGAATGAGTAACTGATATATTTTTCATACTTCTCCTCAGACTATTCAGTCAGGAGTGTTATGAGTCACAGAACTGGCTAATTTTGAAGCACTATTTAAAACAAAAAATATACTGATTTGATTTCATATAAAATTCATTCTAGGATCATCTTCAATTGGTGTTCGTTTCAGAAACTTTCCACGTATTATCTATGATAAAATTAAAAATTTCAACATCTACGAAACAGAATCAACTGATAACACTCATATTCGTCAACAACAAATCTATACAAGAATTTACCTATTTCTTTACATAATTCTACTCAGTATTGTACTCTTTTATACAATTCTCATCGAACGTCGTATTACTGAAACACTTGTCTTACATTCACTTAATGAATCTGAACGATTATTAAGTTTTTATTCAGATGATATCAGTTGTCCATGCACATATACATCAATTTCTTATGATAAATTTATCACTGAATTACGAGTCGATCCATTTCATGAAGCATGTGATTTTAGCCGGTTGCCCACGATATTGAAAAAAGGTAAGTACAAAGATGTTAGTTTTCTTATTCGTCTTTCTAAAATCCAATCAATTAATAAAATAAATATTCAAGACTTTCGGATTGAAATATGGTCTCTTTTTTCGTTGAAGTTTCTACTAATCTAATTTGAATTATCCTTGAATTGTGGATATTGATTATACGTAAAGAAAAAAAATTTCAAACAAATTCAAATAGGAGAAAACTTCAAATTTTTATAAAATTTTTCAGTCATGAAAAAAGCAACTTTGATTAGCTAAACTTTAAAGTCTTAATAAAAAATATTTTTTAAGAGTATTCGAATAATTATATTTGCAGGTACATTACCAGGTGTAGGTGGATATGAGGACTACGATGGACCATACTTAATTTGGATGAAACCTTTCATAGAATCCTTCTATGAAATTTGTTCTTTTGCACAAGAAAATGTTAAAAATAATATTGACGCATTTCTTGTCTCAACCTTATTTACTAATCAACTAATGTCTCGTAGTCTATTTAACACTGAAATGGATGAAATACTAAGTCAATTCAAAAATAAAACAAAAACTACATTTGCTCATATGTTAGACCTTATTCGTTCAACTACCCAAGGAAATGCTTTACTACATATATATTCACAAGCTTGGAGTTTAGCTGCAGTTAAAACAAACGATGGAAGTAATATTAATTTCCTTACTATACCTCTTACATTCAACAATATACAAGAGAATACAAGTTGTTTATGTAGCACTTTACAAACATGTCGAATACCACGACAAGTAGATATATCTCGTGGTTTGATTACTATTGATGGTATGGTCGTTGGCTGCCATCAGCTTGAAACATTACTTCTCTCATCTTTGGCTTGTTTTTATTCTCTGCAATGCACTAACGACCTTCGAACTACTTTGCCCGCAGGACCTATATCAATGGAACAGTTTGAAGGATTAAGTACGTCAACAACACGATTCTCTATGAATGACACGATAGAAACGATAGCATATGAAATGTTTATCGAATCATGGTCCAATAATACATCCTATGAAGGATATTTTAATAGTTGCTCACCAAGTTATTGTATCCATTCATATTATCAAAAATCTGATGCATTAGAAATATTAACAACATTTTTAAGTGCATATGGTAGTTTATCAATTGGCATTTACTTTATCGTACCTTATCTTGTTAAATTAATTAAAAAAATTTTAATTTGCTTTCGAATTACTCAACAACAATGATACATTTATTGAACATTAATTAGAACTATTTCAACAAGAAGATGGAATTGGCATTTATCTGCATACGAGAATGATTACATTATTCAAAAGTTTTGACCGCAAGAGAGTAAGTGCTATGGTGCTCATATATAATTTTGAAGGAGATATAGGCTCTGAGATTGAAAATATAGTTAAATATTTTTAGTTAATTTTTCTAATAAAAAAAGATAACTAAGAATATTCAATTATGGCTACCAGTTATATAACCTCGAAACTTATTTTACCTTCAAATCTACATGAGCACTACTCCTACGTTTCATCACTAAAAAGTATTCAGGTAGTACTGGAAGTTGCAAACTTATGCTTGTCCTTGTTTTGTGTTCTCTTAGATATACCTATTGAGAAATTCTATTTAATTTTTCTCATTAGATGATATTAGTGATGATGTAACGCTGCAAAATACGCTTGATATATATATATCATCAAAATTGTTGCTAAGCTTCTAAATCTATTGAGCATTCTTATATATTATATTTTATTAATTATTTGTTGTTTGCAAATTTTGCATTGTGTATTTATGCTGCAGCTTTTGTGATTTGTTTTTACTCTACTGGTTTCATTAATAAATAATTTTGCTTTACTCAATAAAACTAACTGAAATGGATGTATTTCTAATTGATTTGACTAAGATTAATTATAAAATAAGCTTGTTGAGGGTGGATGTAAATGTAGGTAATAGATAATTATAACATTTACATCATTAAGAGTCTTAATTCAATAGATTTATTTCATACGTAAACATCCCTATCATCAAAAGTGAAATTTAGTAAGATAAGAAAATGAATTAAATTTTAAAACAATCTTGTATTTTTTTGTATAAATCAAGAATCCGATTTGAAATCAGTAGATTGTTTTTTCTAGAGTTAAATGATCAGAGACTGTACCAAGATATTATTTACTTTTCTCGGTCATTTAGATTTGTATCAAATAAATTTATGGTAAATGTCATGCGTAAGAAAATCATTGAATTTTGTTTTCATGACATAAATAAATATTAAAATATGTTGATGAAGTGTATTAAATATATGATTGTAATCTTTTTTTGAAGAATACATACAAATTTCAAAAACAAAACAAGATCAGTCATTAAAGAAAAAGTAAGTCGATTTATGAACAATTTCTTGGATTTTTTTTCTCTGTTATTAATAAAAACTATGCTTGTTGAAGTAAATTCTTATCAATATACTTTTCTTTATTTATAGCTACTAGACATGATAGTGCATCTAGTGTCAAATGATAATTGAAATAAATCAAATTTAAGTATTGTATTATCTTATCACAAAGAGAGAGAGAGAGAGAGAGAGACAGAGAGAGAAATAAAAGCATTAGTAATCTAAATGTATCAAAGATTATATTTCTTTTTGTAGTTTGTTTACGCTAAAATCAATCGAATACAGAATTTCAAATGACAAAGGTTAGTTTTATTTAACAAAAAAAAATGAAACAATTTCTTTTATTCAGAATCGAATTGGTCGTGAAAATCCTGTATTTGAGTTAGATCAACAACCGTAAATAAAAAATCCTACAAATGAATCGATATTAACAACAAAATTACAATCGATAGAAGAACAAGAAGAAGATGATGAAGATAAGAACCATGTAGGTTTTGAAAAACTACCTGATGATGGTCATTCAAGTGGTTTATTTGTATTAAAACTTCGAAAATATATAATTCAAAAACAAAAAGTCAGTTTCTTTCGATTTATTTTGCATATTTTTTCTTATTTTAATGTTTGCTAGGCTGCAGTAATCTATGGATTGAAATTAATCTTTTTTATTGGTTTTCTTATTTTCTTTGGATACCCTATGAGTGATAAATATGGTACACCTGCTTTTCCTATTCGTGGCAATCTCTTTCATGATAATTCAGGTATTCTGATGTGGACTATTAACTTTGATCATTCGTTTTATTTAGGTTTTGCTTTTTTGTTTCTGATACTTTTCACAATATTTGTTATTGCATGGGAAAAAGTTCTTCGATATTCAATCGAACGTTTATGTCAATATATTTCACTATCCATCAAAAGAAAATGAAACATGATTTGATATTCAAGATAGTTTATATCGATTTTCTTGGTAAATGTGTTTTCGAAGAATTTATTATTATTGTTAGTTTTATTTTCTTATTAGGATTTTGTATTTCTTAGTTTTCGTTATTATTGCTTTTTATGTGGGATTGACAGTAACTCGTCCTCAAAATTATATATCATTAATTGGTATTGTTGTACTAATTTTATTAGGCACGATTGGTATGAAAATATATTTATTTGAAAATCTTTAACGATTGTTTCATTTTTATATAATTAGGTTCAAAATATCCTCATCGAGTAGGTAGAAGAAAAATGTTTCGTTGAAACAATGAATATAAATCTAGATTCGATGGAAAACAGTATTTTACTCATTTGTTATTCAATTTATATTAGCTGCTGTTGTTATACGTTTTGAAATTGGTTTTCAATGTTTTGATTTTCTTGGAAAAGAAGTATCGAAATTCATACAGTAAATTATTCATTTAATAATCTTATACAAAATAAAACAACAAGTTCTATTTTAGTAATGCTGATGCTGGAGCAATTTTTGTATTTGGAAAAACATTTTTTCATATTTAAAGTATATCTCTTCTATAGATTGAATATTATAAAGAAATTATTTTGTTTTTAATAAGGTAACTTCAATAATTATTTTTCTTGGAGCTGTAATAAGTGTACTTTATTATTTAGGTGTTATGTAATATATTATTGGAAAAATTGCATGGTTTATGCAAAAATCTTTAAATACAACTGCAGCTAAAGTAGATATTGAATATTTTTAATAAAAATAATTTTTTATTTATTTAGTCTATAAATGCAGCTGCAAATATATTTGTTGGAATGAGTGAAGTATCATTAATGATTATGCCATTAGTACCTAAAATGACAACATCAGAACTTCATTCTGTACTAGTTAGTAGTTTTGCAACAATGGCAGGTTTTGAAATGAAATTCTTTTAGTTTTTTTCTTTTCTTTTCCATAAAAATTTCTATTAGGATCTGTTCTTGCAACATTTAAACAAAAACAAATTCATCAAATATCCAATTTACAGATACTTCTTAAATAGACAATGATAGTTTGAAAATGCAGTAAACATTTTTATGAATTTCTTGAATTTTTAACTATATATTATGTACATCAAGAATGAAAAGATATACTCTAAAAACTTTTGTTATCATTCAATACAAAAGATGATTGATAGAGATGAAGAATATACTAGTCGAGGATCTTGTCTGAAAAGTCAGATCTGAATATTCTTGTAGATAGAATCTTGTCTGTTGAAGCAAGAAATGACTCATTATATATGATCTTTTTCTCTTCTATCTAATAGATTTATTTAAAGGATAGTAAATAATAAAAATGACGTGTTTACATAAAAATAATTCAAATAATTTATTTATATTAAAAACTCAAATCAAATACTGACATTGGTCTTTTCGATATTTTTTGTCAAGCCATTATTTGATACACTGATATACTTCGATATGTTTATCTATATCCTAAACTGTTTCGGCTTAGCTATTATTGACATGCAACTCAAACATTGTTCCAAAAGACTACCATTTACTCGTTAAATCCAATATAATAAACATATTCTATTCTAGTTCAAAAACGAACGAATAATCAGTATCGAAATAAGAACTATTCATTTTGACTAAGTTTTTTAAGATATTCTACAGTTTATCTGACTGATCTTTGAAAATATTTCGTCTCAAAATTTTAGTCAAATGATTAGTATTATTATACATTTTTATGAGCAACTCCTTTTATCTTAAATATAATGACAGGTCAATCATAGTGACAAGTATGATTTCCATAAAAGAAGCAATAGTTGAGAACAATAACAAAATTCAATATCAATTATACGTTTAACTCTTACACTTTTACTTATCACACGAAGGTTTCATTAACAATAATACCATCCTTCTACAAAACAAATACCCTAAAGACATTCTTTAACATCATTATGATTATCATGAAAAGAATGAGAATATATTCTAACTATTAGGTTAATAGTAAAGTTCTTAATATATACAACAACAAATACATAGACATAATAATATTTATATTCATTCGATTGTATAGTGAAGGACAACTATTAACTTTACCTATTTATATATGTATATGAATAAATGTATTTTACAAGAATCAATTTCCATTGAAACATTTCGTTGAAGGAAAGAAAAAAGAAAAGTATGACGCGACAAAACAGTTTGTTTGAGACATTATGAATTTTCACTTTTTTTTTCTTTTTCTTCTCTTCTGTTCGGTTTTCTTTATGTCTCCGTTATTTATCCTTGAATTGAATGTCGTCGCATAGCACTCATCTTTGTTCTTTCTTACTACATACGTAAAATTGATTTTGTTTAATATTATATGAGCTAATAATGATGAGCATATAATGTACACTATTTTCTTCCACTTATACAATCGAACGCTTTTGCAAATGAAATGAATGTAAGTTTATAAAGAATTCAAGAAGAAATTAGTCCGAAATTTATTTTAGGATCAAGATGATAATACATCTCATTCATCAATTATTTGTAAACAATGCTCAAAGTAAAATAAAAAATTGAATTAAAATTATAATAATCTTGTTTCGTTTTTTTTATATCAAAGATCGAGACGATATATTATTATTATTTTGATTATTATTATAATATTATTCATAGCAGGCATAATATTGATTACACTCGCTAGTATAAGTATGTGATTAGATTTTTGAACTTCATCTATTTCTTATCTTTATTTAGAACCATGTTTCTTCCTGAAATGTCATCCAAGAGCGTCAGGCTGTATTAATCGTTCACCATTTAAAGGACAATGCATTTGTGATTCTCATACAGCTGGTAATGGTCGAGCAGTCTGTGATGGTAGTTAAAGAATAATAGATCTTCTTATGTAAGTATAAGAAATTTTCATTTCATTTG